CGGCGAGGGCCCCGCCGGGGGGTCCCGATGTGGGCGCCGAGGGGCCCCGTCCACGGCCGAGGCGGGAGAAGCGCGGCCGTGCGCCCAGGCCCTCGCGCGCCCCGTCGCAGGCGGTGCTGGAGGTGGGCGCCGGTGCCCGGGGGCCGTCGGTCCCGGAGCCCCTTCCGAGGTGTAGAAGGGGGCGAGGAGCTCGGCCCGAGGTGCCCGCCGTGCGCCCGGCTCCCGCGCGGTGGTACCGGCAGGGAACCGGTAGGAAAAGGAGAAACCGCCACAGGGAACCTGTGGAAAGGAGGGATCCGCCGCAGCGGGAGCTGCTGGAGGGCGGTCGGGGGGGAGGCCTCGGGGAATTGCAGCACATGGATTTGTGGATTTATATACGGAGGGGCAGTGACTGCGTCTTCCATGTTACCGAGACGGAGAGAGGTAAAGAGATACAGGGTCCTGCAGAGAAAAGAGGGGAGCGAGTCTCCTCCGTGCGTCTAAATAGAAGTGGTCAGAACCAGAAGCTGGTGGGGGGCAAGTGTTTTTAGGAGGCCAAGGAAGGGGAGGATGTGCAGGGAGCTGAGGCGGTTTCGTTGGCACCTCTGGTACCTGAGGATGGCAACCGGGTTCCTCCTCAACAGGTTTTCTTGGCACGGCTGGAAGAGATAAATGGGCTCGGTTATAGGAATTATCTCTGTAGTGGGTGGTTGCTCTCGGGCGTGACCTTAAAGAATAAATAGGTAGTGGTAGGACCGTGTTCTGCTCTAGGATACGTTCTGCACCGCCGCTCCTATGCGAGGCAGGAAAGTTATTGGGGCTTTTAAAGCCTGAATTGTCTGTAATGGGTTTGCTGGTTTGCTTTAGTAAAACTGGCAACTCCAGGTTTGTTTTGAGCTGTGGGCTTGTTGTAAAACTGACCCGGACAAAAGCAATTCTGGTGGTTATTACCAGTAGAAAAGCTGCCTTGTGGTAGACCACAGGAGGAGTAACTTGATATTTAGTCCAAGCCTGGAAGTAAACCCGAGGTCTTGTAGGTAATTGGTTTGCTTCACATGCCGCTTTTCAGCTCTTTTCCTGAATCA